GGGTAACAGGGGCTCTCTGGTGCCCCACAGCTACACCCTGGAGTGCAACTACAACACGGGGCGCTCGGTGAACAGCATCCCGGGGGCCTGCCACGACAACGGCCGGGCCAGCCCCCCGCCACCGCCCGCCTTCCCCTCCCGATACACCGTGGAACTCTTCGAGCAGGTACGGGGACCTGGGGTGAGATCAGAGGGTGCGCTGGGATCTGGGGCTGGGGTTTCTTTCCTCCACTTGCTTTGCTATCCCAAGCTCCAGGGAGCTGCCCCTCTCCCCAGTGCCCCCACTCCCTGGCATTCTCTCTTCCTGGAATCCCCCCTTCCTGGTGCCCTCATCTCCCCTCGTGTATCCCCCTTCTCCTGGTGGCTTCCTCTCCCTGTGACCCCCTCACTACTGCTGCTCTCTCCAGTGTCCCCCAATGCTTCCTTCCTTCCTCTTTCTTCCCCCATGCTTCCCCTCTCCCTTGTGCCGCACACTCCCGTTCTGCTCTCTCCCCGTGCCCCTCACCTGTGCCCTGTCCCGGGCAGGTGGGCCGGGCGGTGGCGGTGGCGGCCCTGGACATGGCCGACTGCAACCCCTGGCCGCGGATCGTGCTCTCGGAGCACGCCTGCCTGGGCAACCTGCGCGCCTGGATGCTGAAACACGTGCGGGGGCTGCGCGGCGCCAGCGGGGGCCCGCGGAGGAGAGGAGGTGCCAGGACCCCCCCCAGGAGCTCCACGTAAGGGCTGGCGGGGGCGAGCGCGGGAGCTGCAGGATAACGGCACTTAGAGGTGATAAATGTCCCCAAGTGAGTCACCTGCCAGGGTCACTGCCCTGGGCCTAGCTCTTCCCAGCTCAGGGAGCTGCGGGTGTCAGTCCCTCTGCTCCGAGACATCAGCAGAGAGGGGCAGAGAGTGAGCTGGTTGGGATTTGGTCTCTCCTGCATCCATGTCCAGCGCTGGACTGGGATGGGAGAGGCTGAGGGAGCTGGGAGGCTCAGCCTGAAGAAGAGGAAGCTCAGGGGAACCTTCTTCCTCTCCATGGTTCCTGACAGCAGGGTGGAGCCAGGTGGGGGTTGAGCTCTGCTCCCACGGGACAGGGACAGGACAAGGGGAAATGGCCTCGAGTTGTGCCAGGGGAAGCTCAGGCTGGATGTTGGGAGCAATTCCCACTTGGAAAGGGCTGTCCAGCACAGGGTGCCCAGGGCAGGGGTGGAGTCTCCGTTTCTGGAAGGATTTAAAAGCCCTGTGGATGTGGCACCTGGGGCCATGGGTCAGTGGTGGCCTGGGCAGTGCTGGGGAAGGGTTGGACACCATGATGTCTGAGGCCTTCTCCAAACTCAGCAATTCCTTGATTTGGGACTGGGGTGAGGAAGTGGGAGCCCTGAGACAACGCTGCTGGGACAGCGATGTACAGCGCAGGGCGCTGGGGCTGCAGCTCTCAGGGATGGTCCTGGTGACATCCTCATCCGCAGCTGTTCACCAGCTCCTGAGGAGACGTCCAGGGCTCTGCCAGAGGTGGTGCTGGGCTGCGGTGGTGGGTGCAGGGTGCAGAGGGGAGCCCCCTCACCGTGCTGGGCTGACCCCCTTCTCTCACCCCTCAGTGGGCTGCCCACCTCGGCCTCTGACAACGCGCTGGCCCGTGCCAGGAGCTTCAGCAACGGCACCAGCGGGAGCGGGGGCAGCCAGCAGGACTCCCCCCGGATCCGAGCCTCCCCCAGCTTCACCTTCGGCAGCCCCAGGCCCCCGGCCGCGGCCCCCCAGAGCCCCGTGAGCGGCGGCAGCACCCCGGCCCCGGGCAGAGGTAAGCCGGGCTGGGGGCCCCTCGCGCGCCTGCTGCGGCGCCTGTCCGGCTGCTGCGCGGCACCACGGCCCTGAGGGAGCTCGCACAGTGACAGTGGGGCTGTGTGGGACAGCGAGTGTGAGGGGCCTGTCCCCACGGGAGGGTCCTGAGCCAGGCCTGCAGTTTCACAGCCCAACTGAGCTCCTGCTCCTCAGCCCTTCAGCCCTGGCTGGGCAGGAGCTGCTGCTGCTGCACTGGGATGTGGGGGACCCTGGGCACTGGGGCTGCAGGGAGATGCCCCCCTCCAGTGCCGGGACCAAGGGGCTTCTGGAGAAGCCAGCACAGAAACCTTTGCTCAACTTCCCACTGCTCTCAAGCATTCCCGAGGCCAGCAGGGACACACCAAAGTGCCTTTCCCCTCTAGGCACTGGCTGGGCAACAGTGGGTTGTGACCTGTGAGCTGGCAGGGGGCACCAGGGGGTTTCCAACATGCAGAGTCCCCTCTGGTGGGGGCTGATTGCTGCAGTGGGGTGCCACAGTCAGGCAAGACAGTGGCTGTGCCCCCTGTGCTAGCATTGCCACCGTGGGGTAGGGGCTCGGGGCAGGCAGTGGCAGCGGGAGCCCTGCAGCCCTGCGCTCCCATGCACTGTGGGGCTCAGCCCTGGGGGCACCGTGATCCAAAGCCTCCCAGTGCCCAGGGCTGGGGGTGTGAGCTGGGGGCAGGTGCCTGGCAAAGCTGTGTTTGTGTTGAGCTCTGTGTTCCTCTGGTGTCTGTTGTGTTGTCCTCGGGGTTTGCTGCCCAGCCTTCTGTCATGACTGTGTCTTGTCTGCCATGAGAACATGGTGGGGAGGAAATAAAAGGCTGATGTTCTCATGGGCACGTTGTTCCGTCTGTTCCTTTGGCCGGGCCCGCCTGGAGCGACCCCTGGCCCCATCCCTGGCTGAAGGGACTGGGGACAGTTGGGGGCGTGAGCAGGAACAGACCGTGTGAGCCGGAGGGGCAGAGCCTGGTCCCTGGTGTCCCCAGGTCCGACTGGCTGGGGTCTCCTGCCTCCTGTGCTGCCCACTGGCACGGCCTCCCCCAGCAGTGACCAGCAGAGTGAGTGCCCCATGGACACTGCACCCTCGTGCTGCCTGGCACTGGGACCAGGACCCGGCTCTTCCTCCCCTGCCCTGGCATCAGCTGGACCTGCTCCTGCCTGGCCACTCCAGAGCTCCCCGCTGCAGCTGCTGCAGCTCTCCCACCACCTTCTCTCCCAGCACTACCACTCTGCACCTCCGAGGGGCCCAGCACGGTCAGCACCACTGTGTGTGCGCAGGGATCAGGGCCCAGGGGTGCTCGGAGCCCTGGCTGTGCCCCCCAAGCCCCACGCTGGAGCCCTCCGGCTGGCTGTGCCCCCCAGGCTCGGCCCTCCCCAAGCAGCGGGGAAGGAGCTGGGTGTGCTTGGAGGCGTGATAGGGTGGGGCAGGATGGCACAGGGGGGAGACCTGGGTGCCCTGGTCCTGTCCCACCCTCCCCATTCTTCCCCGAGTCCCACTCCAGCCTGGCCACACCCTGGGGAGCCCAGCCCTGTGTTCATGCCAGGGTGAGGGGGTGTGCCAGGTCCCCCACGACACCCTCAGCTGCTGTTGGCCTTTGCTGGCTGAGGCTGGCACCGGTTGTGGTTTCAGTCCAGGCGAAGCCAGCTGCCACCTCCAGTACCTCCACCAGCAGCAGGGGCTGTGGCCCATCCTGCCCAGCAGAGGCTCCTGCTCACAGGGTCCCATTTGCTGTGGGGTCTGGCCCTGGCTTCACCCCAGTGGGAAGTGTGCCCCCCACCTCACTTCTTCTGTGAGATGGGGAGGTAATGGGGCTGGGATAAAGACTTCAACTGAGGCAACTCGGGTGTGTTCCTTCAGTGCTGTCCACTGCAGCCAGGCCCCCAAACACCTTCCTTTTTCCCCCCAGCTCCCCTGGCTGAGATGTCCCATGCCCCAGGACATACCCTGGTTCAGAGCTGTGCCCCCAGCTCCTCACTCCTGGCTAAGGCTGGCCAGCATGGCCACACCAGTGCCATGGGAAGCCAAGGCAGGAGCTTGGCTGGAGCTGGGGCACGCAGCACTGGCAGCACGAGCTGGGACTGAGCTCTGTGCCCATCACTTCCTCCTGCCAGCACCAGCCCCTCCCAGGGCGACCCTGTGGTGTTGGGCTGTGCGGAGCGGCCTGGCCCTGGCAAAGCTGGCAGGGAGGTGGCACTGCAGGGCACCGTGGCACTGGGCTGTGCCACAGTGTCCTGCGATGGCTCCAGCCCAGCTGGTGACCCCGCCATGGCACTGAGCCCCTCGCCAGCATGGGCTGAGCTCTGTCTCCTCTGTCACACAGGGACTCTGCCCAAGGGCACCCGGGCAGTGCCGAGCACCAGCCACGGAGCACGGGCGGCACAGCGAGGCGTGCAGGAGCTCCAGGACATGGCCCCTCTGCAGGTATCAGAGGCACCAGCAGGGCCTGTGCCCAGGGAAGGGGCCGCCCCATGGCTCTGCTGGGTGGGCCCTTAGCGGGGGGACATGTTTGGGGGGCTGCCCCAAAGACTGGGAGCCCCTCAGGGACTGGGAGCCTCCCCACCTGTAGGGCTCTGCCAGTTATTTCTGTCCCACACACCTTTCCCCAAGACATGGGGAAACCCCAGGGACAAAGACCTGGCACTGATCCTCTTGCCCGCTCTCCACAGGTGCTGCCCATGAAGCTGAATGCCCGGAGAACCCCGGACAGGCCTGGGTAGGTGCTGCTGCCAGCTGCAGTGTGGGCTCATCTCAGAGCCCCTGCCCTGCCAGGCACGGAGAGCTGGGTGCCCGGACAGCCCAGGCAGGGGACCGTGGGGCTCCACAGGAGCTTTGCGCCCCACTGACACCGGTCTCTGTCCCACAGGGCTCTGCCTGGAGCCCCGCGCGAGGGTGATGAGCACCGAGGGACCCTTCCCATGCCAGGGCAGAGACCTGTGCCCCGGGCTCCGGCCCCGCCGTACCGGGGAGGTGCAGAGCGGGCAGGGCTCCTCCGGCCCTGCTCTGCCCCGTGCCTGCAGCGTCTGTCCCTGCCGGCGCCGGTGTCCCCCGGCCCGGCCCCCCAGCACCGATCCCCCCTTGCCCAGCTCCTGCCCACAGCGCCGCTCCTCCTGCGCTGAGCCCGCCGCGCTCCCGGCCCTGCCCGCTCCTCCCGCGGGCCCGGAGAGGGGCCCGGCCCGCGGGGGTTTATCAAGCGACACGGTTTTGTCGTGAATCATCGTGTTTCCGTTAAAGCTGGTTTGGAAGGAGCTCGGCCTGGCGCCTCCCGGGACAGCCCCGCGGGAGGGAGGGACGGGCGGCGGGAGCGGCGCGGCGGGGCCATGGCGGTGCCGGTTTCACGGGCTCCTCACTCCTGCGGGGCCATGGCGGTGCCGGTTTCACGGGCTCCTCACTCCTGCTTCTTGGGGTTGTTGACGGCCACGTAGTGGTACAGCACGACGAGCAGGAAGAGCGAGACGCCCAGCATGTTGGCGAAGATGGCGAGCTGCACGTCCGTGATCATCCTGCGGGGCCGGGGGGACGTGCACGCTGGCATCCCGCGGAGGGACCGGCCCTCACCGGCACGGCCCCGCTCCCGTCCCACCCGGTGCCCCGGTGCCCACCTTGTCCTGGCCTCCCGGTGCCCCGCTCTCCCCCCGGTGCCCGCTCTCCCCGGTGCCCGCTCTCCCCCCGGTGCCCCACTCTCCCCCCGGTGCCCGCTCTCCCCGGTGCCCGCTCTCCCCCGGTGCCCGCTCTCCCCCCAGTGCCCCGCTCTCCCCGGTACCCGCTCTCCCCCGGTGTCCGCTCTCCCCGGTGCCCCGCTCTCTCCCCGGTACCCTCTCTCCCCGGTGTCCCGCTCTCCCCCGGTGCCCCGCTCTCCCCGGTGTCCCGCTCTCCCCCGGTGCCCCGCTCTCCCCGGTGCCCGCTCTCCCCCGGTGTCCCGCTCTCCCCGGTGCCCGCTCTGCCCCGGTGCCCGCTCTCCCCGGTGCCCCGCTCTCCCCCCGGTGTCCCGCTCTCCCCCGGTGCCCGTTCTCCCCGGTGCCCCGCTCTCCCCCCGGTGTCCGCTCTCCCCCCGGTGCCCGCTCTCCCCCCAGTGCCCCGCTCTCCCTGGTGTCCGCTCTCCCCGGTGTCCCGCTCTCCCCGGTGCCCGTTCTCCCCGCGGTGTCCCGCTCTCTCCCCGGTGCCCGCTCTCCCCGGTGTCCCGCGCTCACGCTCCGGTCCCGCCGCTGCGACACGTCTCCCTGCGCGCGCCACTTCCGGTCGCGCGGCACGGCGGGAGACGCCTCGCCCCGGGCGTGACGTCACGGCAACCGGGCCCGGTGTGACGTCACGCGCCCCCCCCCGCCCCGGACCCGCCCCGCCCCGCCCCGGGCCCGCCCCGCCCCCTGGCGGCCGCCGGCGGCTCCGGCTCCATACGAGGAGCGGCGCGCGGGCGGGGCGGGGCCGGGCGGCCGCGGCTAATTAGCGCTAATGACACTAATGACAGCTCACCGCGGCCGATGACAGCGCCGCCGCCGCGGGGCTCTGGCGGGACGGGCCGCACCGGGCTCTGCAGCGGCGGGCGGCGGCGTACCGGGGGTGCTGGGCAGCACCGGGCGGTCCGGAGGCACACCGCGCTGCGCGGGGCTGGGGCGGGCTGCGGTCCGGGGGTCCCGCGCGGATGGGCTCCGGTCGGGGATCCCGGCAGCGATCCCCCCCCGCGTCCGGCCGGTCCCCGGCCCGGTGCCCCCCCCGCTCGGCCGCAGCCCCAGCGCGGTCTGGAGTGCCCCGGCACACGACAAAGGCACGGCCCCCATGGCCCCCCATAGCACCCCATAGCTCCCCATAGCTCCCCATGGCTCCCCATAGCTCCCCATAGCTCCCCATGGCCCCCCATAGCACCCCATGGCACCCCATAGCACCCCATAGCTCCCCATGGCCCCCCATGGCCCTCCATAGCACCCCATGGCCCCCCCATAGCTCCCCATGGCCCCCCATAGCACCCCATGGCCCCCCATAGCTCCCCATAGCACCCCATAGCTCCCCATAGCTCCTCATGGCCCCCGCAGCTCCCCATGGCCCCCCATAGCTCCCCATGGCCCCCCATAGCTCCCCATAGCCCCCCATAGCTCCCCATGACCCCCCATAGCTCCCCATGGCCCCCCATAGCACCCCATGGCCCCATCCCTGTGCCCCCACAGACCCCATGGTCCCCCACAGCCCCCCGCAGCCCCCCATGGCACCCCTGAGGAGGGGTCCCCATCCCCCCTCGGGAGCACCGGGGCTGGCACCGGGCCCAGCCCAGCCCCGGGCCCCTTCCCCGGTGTGTCCCTCCCCCGCACCCCGTCCCTTCCCGCCCCCTCCCCCTCCAGCTGCCGCCAGCTGTTTGTGTTTAACCCCCCCGGCGGCTCCCGGGGCCGGGGGGTTCCCGCGCCCCGGCGTCACCGCGGGCCCGGGGCCACGGCAGCGCTGATGTCACCGGGAGGCCGTGACGCCACCGCGGGGCCCGGGGAAGCCGTGGCATCACCGGGGCTCAGCGCCACGGCGGCCCGGGGTGGCCCCCCAGTGTCCCCAGTGTCCCCAGTGTCCCCATCACGGTGCCAGGGTGGGGCCGGGGCCGCGGGGCAGCACCGGCTCGGTACCGGCACCGGGACGCGTCACCTGGCACGGGGTCACGGGCACGCGGGGACGTGGCACTGCGGGACGCGGTGCCGGGACCTGTGGCTGCTGTGCCCGGTGCGGGGGTGAGGAGCGGGGCCACCGGTGCTCGGGGACACGCGGGGCACCGTGCGCTGCCGGTGCTGGTGGCGGAGCGGCGGCCGTGGGAGACCGATGGCCGCGGCGTGCCGGTGCCGCGGCGGTAGCCCCGGCCGCCCGCGCCCTGGCCCCCTGCCCGGCCTCCCTGCCCGCCCCGGCCCCGGCCCCGGCCCCGGGCCGGCCTAACGAGGAGCAGATGTGGCAGCGGCGGGGCCGGCGGGGCCGCGGTGCCCGGCGCGGCTGGGGCGGGGGCCGCGGCGGGCAGGAAGCGGGGGGCCCCGGGGACCCCGCCGGCGGGCAGCGGCGGCGGGGCGGCTCTGGTGGCGAGGGGCTGGCCGAGGGGCGGCCGGGGGGAGGGCAGAGCCGAGCCGAGCCGTGCCGAGCCGCCCAGAGCCGCGGAGCCGCGACGGGACACCGCATGCGGTCCTGAGCCGCGCCGGACCGGGCTGCCCGAGCCGAGCGGAGCCGCCCCAGCCCAGCATGGCACGCTGGCTCTGGCCGTGCCTGCTGGCCGCGCAGGCCCTGGCCGCCAACTTCCCCCCCCGGTACAGCCTCTACACCGGCGGGGCCGCCCCGCTCGCCCCCGGCCCGGCCGCGGCCCACAGCGGTGCCCGGGCCGCCAGCCGGCACAGGTAGGGAGCAACGGGCACCGGGACGCGCCGGGGCGGCGGGGACGCGGCTGCAGCCCCCCCACCTATGTGCCACCGGGATCCCGGCGCCGGGCGGGCACCGGCACGTGCCACGTCCAGCCCGGGGCCGGCGGGAGGGCGACGGGTCCCCATAAGCGGGGGCGTCACGCCCGGGCCCGGGACGGGTGGGCAGGGGGCGCACGTGGAGGGTCGGGGTGCAGCATTCCGGGCCGGTCCTTCCTCGGCATCCACGCGTGGCTCGGCGCTGCCGGAGAGGGGAACAGGGACCCGGACCTCGCCTGTCCCCATCCCCGTCCTGCCTCGTACCGTGGGCAGCGTGGGGCCGTGGGGCAGCCCGTGGCTGTGGGTCGGGGCGTTGCGGGGACGCGGGGCTGGGGACGGCCCCACGCTGGGTTGGGGTCACAACAGATTCACCGCGGACACATCAGCGCCGCGGCGGCCCCGGGGGATGGCAGGACCTGGCCGCAGCGTGGGGTCCCTGGGCAGGGGCTCGGCCGTGGGGCACGGGCACGGTGGAGCCTTTCCCTGCGGCTTTGGGGGCTCAGGGGTCTCTCCGCGGGTCGGGGTGTGCAGCGCTCCATCCCGCGGCCCGGGGAGCACGGGGGGTGTCCCCAGATCCTGCCCTTCCAGGGGAGCTCTGCTTCCATCCCACGCCCGGGATGGGGACGGCCCCGGTGCGGGGCGGTGGGACCCCAGGGCAGCCCGGGGGTCCCGGGGCCTCGCGGGTGCGGGGCTGGGACGGGGGGGAGAAGAGGGGGGCCGTCGGTCGGCGCAGGAATTCCCGGCGGCCCCCGGGGAGGAGCTGGAATCCAGCCGGGGCCTGAGGGGAACCAGCCGGGCTGACGGGAACCGGCCGCCGCACCGGGGCCCCGCGGCGGGGACCCAGGGCCGCTCCCCGGGGGGCTGCCCAGTGAGGGTTGGGGGGCCCGAGCGGGGCCCGGGATTCGGGTCCCGACCATATAAGGCTGCGCCGGGGTCCCTGCAGCGGGGCCAGGCTGCAGTCCCAGGCGGGGGGGCCGGGGTCCCCACAGGCTGCGGCGCTGCACTGGGGAGCGGCGTGTGGCGGCCGCGGCTGCTCCGGCCCTCCCTGCTCCCAGTTCCCCGAGGGGGCAGGGAACACCGGGGCAGGGATGGGGCAGCACGCACGGCGCCCGTCCCCGGGCCAGGCAGCGCGGGATGCGCAGCACGGTGCGATGGGGTGCGGGCACCCTGCTCCTGGCAGAGCCCCATCCTTGCGGGGCTCCCGAGGGCGGCCGCATGGCTGGGGGCTGCGGCCTTCCTGCAGGGTCGCCAGGCACGGTTCAGAGGCTGTGCTGGGGCAAGATCCGCCCCATTAACCCGCCGCAGTGGGCCATGACGGTGCTACCGGTGGGGCTGGTTGGGCAGCACAGGAGCTCGCCGGGGGATCCGGGGAGTGGCCAGAGGGGCCGGAGTGTGCCGGGGGTCCGGGATGTGCCTGGTGAGCTGGAGTGTGCCAGGGAAGGCCCGGGGCAGGGGCTGCTGCTGTGGCTCTGCCGGGGTGATGCCTGGTGCCTGCTCTGTGCCAGGACAATGCCTGGTGTGTGCCGGGATGCTGTGCACGGTGTGTGCTGGAGCAGCGCCTGCTGTGTGCTGGGATGATGCTAGGTCCGTGCTCGGGCAGTGCCAGTGGCTGCTCCGTGCCGGGATGATGCCTCCTCGGTGCCAGGACAACCGGCGGTGGGTGTGCGCCCAGATGGAGCCCCGGTGATGCCCAGCCTGTGCCATGCTGGGTCCGTACCAGGACAGCGCCTGCTGCGTGCGGGGTGATGCCGTGTGCCGGGGTGATGCCGTGTGCCCTGAGCCCTTCCCTCCGGCAGGAACTGGTGTGCCCACGTGGTGACACGCAGCGTGAGCTGTGTGGTGGAGGATGGCGTCGAGAGCTTCATCAAGCCGGACTACCAGCCCTGCGCCTGGGGGCAGCTCCAGTGCCCCCGAGTCCTGGCGTGAGTGGGGCCGGGCCGGGGCTGGAGGGCTCTGGGGGGGTTTTGGGCGTTCTGGGGGGGGGCCAGCGCAGAGCCAGGGCGAGCCGCGGCCCCGTCACTGGTGTTTACCCACCCTGGGCCATGTTTACTTTTGCGCAAGAGTCAGTGGCCTCAGGCGGTGCCGGAGGGTGGCCGGACACTGTCCCCCTCCCTGTCACGTGCAGCCAAAACCCTGGGGCACCCCCAGTTCTGTGGGGCAGCGCTGGGGTGACACCGGCGTTGGGGTGGCACTGGTGACAGGGTGACAGGGCTGGGCAGGGGCAGCCCCCCGGCCGCTGAGCGAGACTCCGGCGCTGCTGGGTCAAGCCGCAGCCCGTGCTGGCTCTGGTTCTCTGGGGCAGCCCCACGCCCCTCCTGGCATCCCCCAAGCCCCGTCCCCTGCACCCGCAGGTACCGCAGCTTCCTCCGGCCGCGCTACAAGGTGTCGCAGCGCACGGTGTCGGAGCTGGCCTGGCGCTGCTGCCAGGGGTACTCGGGTCCCGACTGCAGCGAGGGGCCTTCTCCAGCATCCCCCCAGCCCACCGGCCGCCCCCCGCCCCGGCCCGGCCGCCCCACGCTCTCTGGCTTCGGCAACCCCCTCAGTGGCCTGGGGGGCGAAGGTAGTGCGGGGCAGGGGTGCGCTGGTGGGGAACACGCCGGTGGGGGAACGTGCCGTGGCCGTGGCCGTGACCCTGACCCTAGCGGTGCGTGGCAGGCGGCGGCGGAGACACGGAGAAGGTGCGGCGGCTGGAGGAGCAGGTGCGGCGGCTGAGCGAGCAGCTGGAGGAGCTGCGGGCCGGGCGGGAGCCGCCCCGGGCGGCTGTGGAGGGGCAGCCCGGGGGCGAGCAGCCGGCTGACGCGGCCGCCCCCGCCGGATTGCGGGAGGAGCTGAGCCGCC